CATTCATTTAGGATGTTGTTCTTTTGTAATAGTTTATAATTAGATAGCAAGGTGCCACCGTAGATACAGCACTGGACTCATCTTCATGATTTCAAATCCAGCCTCAGACATTTACTAGCTGTGTGACCCTGGGCAAGTCACTTAACCCTGTTTGTGTTTCTCACCTGTAAAATGAGCTGGAGAAGGAAATAGCAAACCACTCCAATATCTTTGCCAAGAAAATCCCAAATGGGGTCATGAAAAGTAAAAACAAACAAACAAACAAACAACTGAATGGTTCTTCTTTGTTTTAGGCATTCTGTCCAATATAAAGAGTTTGGTAGAATATTTTCTTTCTCAATTTCTGAGAAAAATTTGTATAGCATAGCTATTAAATTTTCTTTTAAAATTATAGAATTTCCTTGTTAATTCATCTGGACCAGATTTTCTGTGGTTTTGTTTTTTTTGGGGGGGGTATGTGGGGGAGAGAATAGTTCCTCTATGGTTTGTTCAATTTAGTTTTCTGTAATGGAGTTTGAGATCTTTATTTCCTGTTCTGTTAAAAAAAAAATTTTTTTAGATAATTCATTTCTTAAAACTTCAAGATTTACAAGCATATGAATGCATATAGTAGACCATTCTTTCTATTTAGTGTTGTGATTCCTTCTTTTTCCCCCCTTTGGTAATTTGAATTGTCCTCTCTCTTACCAGATTTGCTAAAGGTGTAACCAATTGCTACTCTTTTAAAAATAACTTTTTACAGGAATAAAGGGCATAATCAAGGAATTGTATAATGGAAAGGGGAGATGAGTTGGTCATATGGTGAAATTAAGGGATAATACATGGATGTTCAGAGTAATTTACTGCTATTCAGAAGATATCAGATGTGAGGAAGGAATCAAGCACAATGGGTAGCCCCCTGAATCGAACTTTTGAGAAGTCATAGCTGAGAGCCAGGGAGGATGGGGCAAGGACCAGTTGTGTCCTTGAGTTGAGAGAACTCTCAAATAGATGAGATCACAGATTCATTTGGGTATTTTCAAAGAACTAATTTTTAGATTTATCATTATATATGTTTTCCATCTACCAATTTCTCCTCTAATTTTCAAGATTCCCACTTTTGTGCTAATTTTGCACTCATTTTCATTTTTTTAATCACATACTCTGTTCTTTTAATATTTTTCGTTTCTTAATCTACTTTTTCAGACGTAATTTTTCCTTCAAATACTAAGTCCCAGAAACTTTCGTGTGTTGTCTCATCATTATGATTTTCTATCAAATGGTACTGTTTCTATGTTTTGTTCTTTAACCACTTCTTCAGTATATTATAATTTAGTCTCCACTTAGATCTGTATCTGTTGCTTTTATTCCTGATGTTATTCCATGTGTCTTTAAATATGCCTTTACTATTTCTGCTTTTTTAAAAAGTTATTTAGTGTTTGTGTGCTCTGAAAATGAAAACATGTAGCATTTTAAGGTTTGCATAGCATTTACATACATTATCTCATTTTGTCCTCACAACACACGATGAGTAGATGCTATTATTATCATAAGATAAGGAACTTGAGGCACACAAAGGGTAAGTGACTAGCCTAGGGCCACACGTTTAACTAAGAGGCAGGATTCTATCTCAGATCTCACCGACTCCAAGTCCAGCACTCTATTCATTATGCCACTTAATCTTAATATGTGGTGCTTAGAAATATGCATATTTGGGGCAGCTAGGTGGCACAGTGGATAGAGCACCAGCCCTGAAGTCAGGAGCACCTGAGTTCAAATCCGGCCTCAGACCAAACACTTGACACTTACTAGCTGTGTGACCCTGGGCAAGTCATTTAACCCCAACTGCCAAAAAAAAAAAAAAGAAACAGGCATATTCTTCAGCGGTCCAACACAAAGACTCAAGATGGAAAATGCTATCCACATAGAGAGAAAGAACTGATGGAGTCTGAATGCATTTTCATTTTATTTTTTCCATATGTTCTGTTTCTTCTTATAAAATATGACTAATATAAGGAAAATAGGTATATTCTTTAATGCTCCCATTCAGAAAACTTAATACTTCAGATATAGCTTCTCCAAAAGCTTGTTCATTTCTGTTTTTCCTTTTTATGTTAGATTTGCCCAGTTTTGAGAAAGTAGTATTGAAGTTTTATGATCGCCATGTTACCATTAACATTTTGTGATTCAGTTAATTTTTCCTTTAGGTATATAGCTACTATGCTGCCAGCTGTTGCATATTTAGTACTGATAATGGTTCACAGTCCAAGTTTGCTTTAAGCGTAAGATAGTTTCCTTGTTTCTCTTAACACTGTTATTTTCCATTTTGATAGCATAATTGTAGCTCCTGCTTTTTTAGAACAATCTAATGCATGACAAATTTTGTTCCAGCCTTTCTCTTTAGTGTGCATTTTTTTTAAGATGCACTCCCTATATATTGCAAATTTTGTGTTTTCTTTTCAACATTTTGTCATTCATCTCACTGAACTGTTTGATCCATTCACATTTAAATTAGTGTTAGGCTTGTTTCCCTCCATTGCCCTGTGCATAATTTTATTTATACTACTCTGACACTAGTATATTCCTGCAAGTTGTTTTGTCCTGTCAAATTCCTTTTTATTTAAATTGTTCATTTCTCATTTTTTCTCTTCTTCTAACACTAGTCAAATAGGTGGTTCAAAATCTTCCCTCCCCTCTAAACTTTTCAGTTAACATTATTTTGCTATTCCCCTTTCCATGTTTTCCTTTGTTTGATATTTTCTCTTCTAGTTTATTCAGAATTTTTTTCTGATTCTTAAGTACCAAATTTGAACTCCCACTTCTATTTGATATTGCTGTTGTAGCTCTTATTCCTTCCTCCCAATTTTCTGTTCTAACTCACTTAAAAAAATCAACCTGATTTCAATGGATGAAATTTCTAGTGAGGACATTCCCTCTGTTAATACAGACCAGCAATTGTTATGCAATTTAAGAGTCTTAGGAGAGCTGCCTCCAATATTGAGACTGAATGACAATTCAGTAGTTACATGGCCAGTAGGGGTCACAAGTAAGATTTGGATTAAGATCCTTTCTGACTCCCTGGACTGATGATTTATCATTACTTTAGATTTATCATCCATTACATAATGGATACCCTACCCCTTACACTCTTTGAAGTAATAGAAGATGGAGGTAGTAGTAAGTAGTATTAGTATAGTAAGCTAGTATAATGTAGTAAGACAGAAGTAACTCTGTCTCAAGTCACAAGGACTGGTCCTACTCCCTGCCCTTGTCACAACAAATCCTCATTCCTCAAGTCATGTTATCCTATTACCTATCACCTATTGCTCTATACCTCCCTGCTCCAAAACTCTGGGTAGTGGCTGTCTTTGAGGGACTCATACATCCTCTCTCCTTGGGGATACACAAGGAGGGATTAAGTTCTAGAAGAAACCTGAAGAAGAACATTTTCTAGAAGAAAATGTTGTTTCTTAAATTGCCCTCCCATAAAACCCATTATAAGGTCCCAATGGGAATTTTTAAGGACATATTTCCTTTATCCTTCTGAGTCAAGGACCTTCAGTTCTTTATCAATCCTTCCTACCCATTACTTTTGTCTTATTTTTCCAGTTCCCACTTTGGCAGAGGCTAAAGGAATTAATCACTCCTTACATATGATGAGGTATATCGTGTTTCCTTTCTCTTACATTCCCTATTACCATTTACCTTTCTATTGTTACATCCTCCAATATAAAATGCGGATTGTTTTCAAAGAGGTCAAGGACATAGTCCATGGAGTATTAATTCATCTTTTCTTCCTTCCCATCTTCCAATTAAGTTCCCCTTGAAATTTCAGTCTCTTAGGTCCTTTTTGTCCCTTCATGAACTGTCTTCTTTTACCCCAAGTTCAATGTCTTTTTTTTTTAAATAGCCTAAGTACATGATTTTTTTTCATTAGTCTTCTCTTACTCAATTTGCCTTTCTTGACTGCTGGAGTGTTTAAAGTAAAATTGCCTGCTCAGCTCTGGGATTATGGGTTTTTTAGAAATACCTTAAATTCTTTTTGTTGAAGTACCAATCTTTTTTCACTGATGATTAAGTTCAACTTTGCAAGATTAATTTGGGCTGCTGATTGAGGTCCTCTGCTTCCCATGATACCTTTCTTTCACACTTGAAAGTCTTTCTTCAGATTTTGTGTTGTTACTGAAAATGTAACCTTTAACCATAACATACCTTGGAATGTGAAGTGTGGAATTTTTCTGGTGGCAATCTATGTATCTGTTTAATCAACTCCTTGCTATCTCTATTCAAATGATCTGGACTTTTTTTTTCCTGCAGAATTGTATTTGGGTTTTTTTTGTCTTGCTCTTCTAGATCTATATCTCTGTAAAGTTATCTTTGTGCACCTTTTCTTCAAGGCCAGTCATTTCGGTTTACATAAAATTCATGTTCTTGTAATTTCTGCTTTTATTCTTCCAAATTTATCTCTTCCTCAGAATTTGTGTTCCAAATCTGATACTCGCTCTGTTTCTGAGTTTTACTTCTTTGAAGTAAATCTCCATTATGTTTGGAATTTTAGTCAAATCTTAAAACAAAATTGGTAGTTCTCATTTGTTGTAGAAGTACCATATGGGGAGACAAAAAGCAAGAAATATAAACGAGGGTATAGGAAGATTGTTTAATAAGGATTTTTTTGGGAGGCATGGGGCTCTGGATTTAAGATAGACATTTATCACCCCATATACTATTATACCATTGTCTCTATCAGTTCCTAAAATCCAGCTACATTTAATCCCTTCCTAAATCACACCAACAGGGTTGTCAAATGCAGTATGGGACCAGGTAGTTCCCTCATATCTTCCACTCCTCCTGTGTTCTACTTGTCACCTCTTAGGACTTATGATCAGGGGAGTGAACAGGAGTGGCAATTCCTTAAGATTCTCAGAATATATAAAAAGAAATCATATTTCCCACAAACCTAAAATTCCAATCCAATCCAACAAGCATTTATTAAGCGCCTATGTGCAAGGCAATGGGAATACAAAGACAAAAGTAAAAAATCCCTGCCCACAAAGAGCTTACATTCTAATGGAGGAATATGATATATAATATTGTACATTGCTGTTGCTCCTTCATAGACTTCTATTTGTAATATATCAATAAAAATTTAAGTTTTCCAAAACATATAAAAGAAAAAAGTCCAATCATTAGTTTAGAAATGGTTCAAGATTTACAAATAATGCTGATTTACCTTCTGCATTATTAAATTCTCAATTCCAAAATGACTTACATCTGTGAAAAAACGAAAAAGATATTCCAAGTGATTTAAAAAATAAAACTGCTTTTTTTAATTAAAAAAAAGGGAAACTGGGGCATCTTCCCCTAATAATTAATTCATAAACATTGTCACTACCAAGCATTGTAAATTTTTTAAAGGATTTTTTTTGGTCCAGACTTGTGATTTTATGGGGCAAAGATATTTGCTCTACCAAAGCAGACTAGCAACTAGTCTACAACTTAGTCTCACTGTTGCCTGGGGGCACGACATTGGGAGGCTGCTATGACTTGCCCAGGGTCACAATACCAGAATGTGTCAGATGTGGAACTTGAACATCTTTCTGACTCCATGCTGCCTCTCAATTTGAACTTAGTTTCACAAAAAGATAAATTTCACTGCATTATCTAAGAATATGTGTAAAGTTATAATTAAATGGAATGTATATAACCTTTCATGATGTATTATACACGGAGAAGAAATTCAAGGAATTCAACCCATCTGGAACATCCAGTATGAATTTATTGATTTGTAAGATAGGCACATGAACAGATACTCTAAAAATCCTGGAAAGTTTCTTTTCTACACTACTACTGACACAAACTAAACATCATACAACCTTTTCAACTCTTCACTTCTACTTATTCAACTAAACTACTTAATTGGCTAAAAGAGCAACACTTTCAAAAGTTGATTTTAGTAGATAAATTTTTGAAGTATATAATACATAATTTTCAAAATTAGGTTTGCTCTTCAGGTGGAGGGGGAGGTGGTGGGGGTGGAGGAGGAGGTGGGGGTGGGGGTGGAGGAGGAGGCTCAATAGTTTCCATAAGCTTCTTATTAGCCTCTTCATTGTGACGGTTTTGACAATGGGTTAAATGTTTCTTAAAGCCTCTTGGGAAATTTGATTCAAAATTACAACGTGGACACTTAAGTAAACTTTGCCCATGAGCTGCAACATGATTTTTAAGGAGAGATTCCAAAAGAAAAGCCTTCCCACATATTGTGCATTTATACGGGCTATGAACATTATGCTTGTTAACCAAATGATGCAAAACAGCACCTTTTTTCATAGCACGACAACAACAGATCTTGCAAAAATATTTTCCTTTTCCACGTTTCATATATTTTGCTATCTCCTCCTCAGAGATAAAAGCCTCCTTCTCATCTGTAAACTGCAGGATGCTTTTTGGCTGATCAGTAACATCCATTTTCTCTTTAGTGAAATCAACTGATTCCACATCAACTTGCTCTTGATCACTGTTAGATTCCTGGCCTTTTAGATCTAGGAAATCTAAATCTGCTTTTCCACATTCACTGCTACTAAGTTCTGCATCAGAGTTCTCTTGGTTGTCTTTCTTGAGCTTCTTTTGACAAGGATATAATGCATCTTCCTGAGCCAAAATATCATCTTTTTGATCTTCTATGGCCTCTGTTTGGACATCATACTCACTAGATTCAACTAATTTCTGAGATTCAGGGTATATAGCGACAGATTTGGAAAGCTCAGAAAAAGGAGTATGTTTCTTCAAATCTGAGAAGAAAGACCGTTTCCGGGGCTCAGAAGATAGCAAGGCTTTGGGGCACTCAGGAAAAAGGGCAGATTTTCGGGTCTCTGAAGCCATTTTAGGAGGTTCAGATGACCCAGGAGGACCAGGTTTCCGAGATTCAGAGAAGACAGATTTCTGATGTTCAAGAAAAAAGGAAGACTTCCAGATATCCGGAGACCCAGGAGGAGCAGCCTTCTGGGATTCAGTAAAATCGTTAGAGGCAGATTTCCATGGCTCTCCAGAAATAGAAGGTTTCCATTGATCAGAAGAAACCTTCCAGAGTTCTGGTGATACTGAAGATTTCTGGTGGTCAGGAGACACAGAAGTGCCTGATTTTCGGAGCTCAGGGGACAATGGGGGACCTGACTTACGAAGCTCAGATAATCCTGGAGGTCCTGACTTACGAAGGTCAGGGGACAACGGGGGAACTGCCTTTCGAATTTCAGGTGAGAGTGGGGGACCTGACTTTCGGAGCTCAGGGGATAAAGGGGGGCCTGCTTTTCGAGCCTCAGGGGACAAAGAGGGACTTAGTTTACGGAGTTCAGGTGACAACGGAGGACCTGGTTTACGGGGCTCAGGGGACAGTGGGGGACCTGGCATACGGAGTTCAGGTGACAATGGAGGACCTGCTTTCTTGGCCTCTGGAGATAATGGGGGACCTACCTTCCGGGCCTCAGGGGAAGAGGGAGCTGGTTTACGAGGCTCAGGGGACAAAGCGGGGCCAGATTTACGAGTCTCTGGGGAAGAGGGACCTGGCTTCCAGAGGTCAGGTGACATAGGAGACGTCTTTCGAAGTTCTGGGGGTCCAGGCTTCCAGGTCTCAGGAGATGTGGTAGATTTCCATGAACCAGGTGATACAGGTAAAGGCTTCCAGGATCCAGGTGACATAGGCGGACTTGGCTTCCAAGGGCCAGGTGATAGAGGTAAAGGTTTCCAAGGTCCAGGTGATACAGAAGGAGCAGGCTTACTAGTAGGCTTCCAAGGTCCAGGTGATAAAGATGGAGGAGGTTTCCAAGGTCGAGGGGATGTAGATACCACAGGCTTCCAAGGACCTGGTGATACTGCTGGGGCTGGCCTCCTTGGCTCGGGGGACACAGCAGGTGATGGCTTCCAAGACTCGGGAGAAACAGCTGGTGATGGCCTCCGAGGCTCAGGGGATTCCGTCAGAGCTGGTTTCTGGGATTCAGGAGATGAACTTGGAGATGATCCCCAAGGCTCAGGGGAGGAAGCTAAAACTGGTTCTTGTGGCTCAGGGGAAGTTGACAAAGGAGTTCTCAATGTCTCTGTAAAATGAGAGAGCTTCTGGGCCAAAGGATTAGCAACAGGAGACTTCTGCGGCTCAGGAGACACAGAAGTAAGTTTCTGTGGTTCCAAAGAAGCCAGAGGGACAAGTTCTGAGGATTCTGGAGAAGGAACAGGGGAAGGTTTCTGAGACTCAGGAAGGACAGGTTTTTGAGAGTCAGGGCCAGCAACAGAAAGTTTCTGTGACTCTGCAGAAACAACAGAAGCAGGTTTCTGGAGCTCTGGAGAACTATCAGGGGTAGTGTGAGGTGATTCTGAAGACTGAATAGGAGCAGATTTCTGTGACTCCGTTGAAAAAACAGACATGGATTTCTGAATCTCAGATGAATTAGACATTTTCTGGGACTCTGAAAAGAGAAGGGTTTTCACAGGTTCTGTCTCCTTGTCCAACTGTTTTTTCTGTTTATCATCCCACTTATCTTTTACTGAATGTTGGGATGTAATGTGATAGTACACATTGCAGTACATTTTGCTGGTAAAGAAACATTTATGGCAGTGAAACAACTTTGCGGTTTTCTGATAAAATATCATTTTACCTAACCCACCAGCATCCATTTCATCACAATACTCTGGATGGATGGTACCCATATGGATTTGTACATTTTCATAATCTGTGCCTTTGAAACTGCAGTGATCACATTCCAAACGTTCCGGTTGTTTACGAAGTTCTGGGAATACTTCCATTTTTAAAAAATCTGCTACAACTTGCACAGGTCCTTTGAAATCACGTCAATGTTGCTGCAAAAAAGGAAAAACCAGTTGAGTTATCATAATTTCTCATATAATATTTTATTATTTGAATGCAATTCTTTCCCAACCCATTCAAGTTACATAATTACAAATAATAAAATGTACTGAGGATGGTATATTTGCCAGATGTACATCTCTGCAAAGATTATGGGATTCTAAAAAAACACTGAATCTGTGTCTCTGACTAGAGACTTATGTGACTCTCAAAAACCACACTGCCTTAACACAATGATTTTGGAGCACTGAGTGACAAATCTTGAAACAAAATTCAGGACATTTTAGACTTAACGGCCTAAAGAATACAAATAGTGTTTTATATTTCCAGTCTTCATCAAAAAGCATTAAATAAACCAGATATTAACCTGGAAAAGATGATGACCTTTAAAAGATAACTTCACAAGTCTAGGAATGACCCTCCAGAGAATCTTCCCATGTAGCATGATGCTACAATAGACTGCTACTAATATTGAAATATTACAAGTGTTTCTCTCCAAGTTTAACCTCTGAAATACAGAATATGGACAACAAAAGGGGATTAGTCTCAATTATAAGCATAATGATTACATACAGAATGATTTTATTTGCCTATGAAACAATGAAAATTTTCTCTCACCACTTATGTGCCACTTTTAATTAAAAATATTCAAACATCACTAAGATAGACTTCACAAATGAATATAGAGCTGCATTAAAGATATTAACAAAAATGTCTTCTTTTAATTAACATGTTCTGTAAAAGTCAAATTTATAGATTTTCATATTGCTGAATTTTTTTAAATAATATATTAAAATCTTTCAGTTTTGCATTAGGTTTTAGCAAATCACAAAATTCCTATTAATTTTAACAACTGTTACTAACAGTGCCATTATGTATAAACTATCCACAGGTCTTCTTTTTGAACTTTTCTGAAGTATAGAACGACATATGTCACCTGAGAGAACTGGAAAGAGTATTCTTCAGAGTATTAATTCTTTTCCCCACATCTCCCTTTAACTTTTGTAGCTCTCCCTGGCATTATTCAAAACTTTGGTAAAATACTTTAGGTCTTCATTCTTCCCTATAATGAATAAATACAACAAATAAAACAAAAGAAATTTGTGATACACTGCAGTCTTCAATATAGGTAGAAAACCTCAAAATCAATAGCCCCAAAGTATTTTTGACTAAAACCAAGCAGAAATAGTGTTAAACTAATAACATCAGATTTTTTCAACATGTTAGTAAGTTTTACTACATTTTTTCTTTTTTTCTCTTTATTTTTTTCCCTCCCTCAAAATTGTTTGTTATCAAGGATCACTATCTGAGAAGAGGAGGAAGAGAAATGATATAGGGGAAAATCCAGGGGATGTAGAAACAAAAGATATCAAGAAAAACTATTTTGTAAAATCAACATACACTCAAAGTGGAAAACTGTGTTTCACAGATCTAGATATAGAAGGGACTTCAAAGGTCATTCCATTGCTTCAACCCCTCAGTTTATAGATGATGAAACTGGGGTCCAGGAATATTAAATTCTTTGCCTGAGATATCACAGAATGATAAGGATCAGAAGCAGGATTTGAACATAAAACTCAGATACAGTACTCTCTTTCCTTGTACCATTTTGCTTCCAAAGCCATTCTATAACAATGACTTGAACTAAGGGAAATGTCACATTTCTATAAACCACTCGAGCTGCCAATTGCTTTAGCTCTATCCTTATAACCTAGGAGCCATTTTCAACCAGAAGTCCCTTCAAACAACCCTGGATAAAATTACTTAACCTCTCTGGGCCTCAGTTTCTTCAACTGTAAAAAGAAGGGTTTTAACCCCATGACACCTAAGGTCCCTGCAAGCTCTAAAACTATGATCCTATAAATCTGTAATGATAGAAGTGGTTCCTACGAATGAAATTGTGGCTATCAAGTCAATACTGCCCTCTCCACATGTGCTCACCTAAGCAACTTGCCAAAGTTTTACTTGTGTCAAGCAGCAACCTGATACTTTCATAATCAACCTGTAAGCTTCCTAGTTTAACTAAAGAACTTACATGTGCATTTTTACCTACTTTCTCGATTGAAAAAGCAAAACACACAGATAAGGCAGTATATTATGGAGTGGGAAAAGCACTTAATGTGGAATCAAATGACCCGGGTTTGAATCCCAGCTCTACCCTTGTATGAGGCCTTGGGCAAGTCATTTAAATGCTCTGAACCTGTTTCCTCTCCTATAAAGTGAGAATAATGGATAATTTCATTTCTAAAGTTCATGGTAGCTCTAAATCCTATAATGACAACTAATTCTAAAATAGAAAATACCATATACAAAGCATTTAAAATAGCTTTAAACCATTCTTTGTCCTAATTTCACATTCTCTCTATGCAGTTTAATCCTTACATATATACCACCTTTTTTTTTGTAATCTATAGTTCATACTCATGCACTGCAATTTTCTTCTCCTTCCTATGTCCCAATTCTACAATTCTCCCTACTACTAACTACTGAAAAAAAGAGTCTCTATAATCCAATATGGGTTAAATAAAAAACTCCATTGACAGTATTTTCCATTTTCCACAGGACCTAGTATGTTGCCCTGCAGATATTTGGAGGAGTCCAAAAAAATGGCCACTTACTTAGCAATAAAAAAAGGCAAGATAACATACTAACACATGAAAAGATGTATTTCATAAAAGCAAACTGGAAACCCATGTCTTAAATTACTTTGTATTTACTTCTCTATGCACCTGTTGTACCTTAAGTAAAAAAGTAAGATCCTTGAAGGGAAAAACCTCTTCATTCTTTATCTGTATCACTAACATTCTGCCAACAGAGAGCACCAAATGTTTTAGTTAATTCAATTCCCTCTTCTCCCCCTCCCCTTAATCTTGTTGCTTAGCCTGTCTGCCACAACTTAGCCCTTCTCTGCTCACATTCACCATCCTCTCTATTTCTACCTTTTACCCTGTTTATACCTGTTTCTAACAATACCTGGCAACCAACACCACAATACAAAACCCAAGCAGCTCCTAAACTCTAATGCAGCTTTTCTCCCATTTCCCACCCACCATTCCCTATTCCAACCACCAATCTAGATCCACCAGTCTTTGCTTGCTTTCACTTCATGTTCCCATCCTGTTTGTCAAACTTTATTCTCAAGTTTTACATCTTTATACCTTCTTAGACCTCTATCTCTCTTTGGAGGTCAGTTTACCACTCAATTACCTTTCAGATTTCCAGAATCTCCAAGTTTCAACTCTTCTATTTTTTCCCCTCTCTCTCAATCCAGTTACCTCAATCTGCCTACTTTTAACTCCTCTGACCAATCTCCAAATCTCTCCCATTGTGTTCACCTGTTGCCCAGACTTTTTTGTCCTACTTGTCAAATCCTGGTAGCTTTTACTTTAAAGACTTCAAAGTCTTTTTTCTTTTCACACAAAGGTCAAGTACTAAGTGACTCACTGTCCGGCTGTGTGTGCTCCTAAGAGTTGCCCACACATTTCTATAAGCATTCTGCAATACAGAGTGCCAGGTAAAATTCTATAAATAGGGAGTCCACAGGGCAAGAAGGGAATAAGGGAATGGAATTCAGCAAATCAAACCTTAGGACTTTCACACATGCATACATTTGTAATCCCTCCAAAACATAACGCATTATGCAAAGATTTCAGAAACACAAAGATTCTGGATTACAAAGGACAAGAAATATCAAGACTCAAAAGAAAAGAAAGGTAAGTAAAAGGAATGCTAATGGAATATGGCTTAATAAATTCAAAGCAAATACTCCTAAAGTAGGGGAGAGGCCAGGAAAAAAAAATTGAGAAAAGATGAGGAGATAAGATTGTTGCTGGAAGAAATTATATAGTAGGTTATGAAAGAAATCTTACCAGATGCCTCAAAAATGGTTTTCAAAGACCAGATATCCTACATGGCTTTTTAGCTAAGCCAGAGTATCTGGCCTTCACCTTGCATAGAGAAGCAAACATGAAGGACTAGGGGTGGAAGCTGAAAAAGTAGACAGAGAAGGGAGAATTAGACTGTATCTTTCATTTTAAAACACTGGATTCAATTCCCTGCCCTTTTTTAAATTGGGCCCAATATAGATTTATGTTCTCATTTCAGTTGTACTCTCACTGCAGCATCTTTCTACTTGTCCCTAATCGATTCTTCACCCCACTTACCACTACAATTATTCCAAACCTTCTCTTCTCTCAAAACACCCACAGCACTCCTCCCCCCATACTCTTATTTGAGGATCTTGTCTCATACTCCATTGAAAAAAAAAAGAAACCAATTGCTCCTTGGTTTTCCTAATTTCTTACCCTTCTGACATCACTCCCCACTATAATCTCCTTCACTCATCTTTGATGAAGAAGCAGTCCTCCTCTGTGTCAAGGCAAACCTCTTTACATGCAGCCTTGATCCCATCCCCTTGACATTCTTCAGTAGACTGCTCCCAACATTATCACCACTCGTGTTCTAATCATCACGCTTTCTTTATCTATCGGCCCTTTCTCTGCTGCCCACGTCTATCCAATTGTTAATGAAAATCTTCAACTTCATATTAGCAATTGCCCAACATCTCTCTTCTCCTCAGATAAACTCTTTGAAAAAGTTTACTCTCTTTTAAACTCTCTGCAACTGTTACTCTCTCCAAAGTTACCAAGTACCACTTATGACCAATGCCATATCTAATGGCCTTTTTTTCAATTCTCATGCCCATTCAGTTACCTCTCTCCAGCTGGTGACACTGTGGTCAACCTCCTTCTCCTGGTTAATTTCTTCCTGACAGATTTTTCTAACATTGTTCTCTATCGATTACACTTCTTACCTGTTTGACCATTCCTCAGTCTCCTTTGCTGGATCTCGGTACATCCACATTATATCCATTACTAATGGTGGGTGTCCCCAAGGCTCTTTCCTGCACCCTTTTCTCTTCTCCTTCCACAGTATCACACTCAGTGATGTCACAAATTTCAATGATCACCTTTATGCAAATGATTCCCAGATCTTTATCTAGCCCTAGTTTCTCCAATAAGTATCTGCCTATTGGACTGGATAACACATAGGCTTTTTACAGCTCAAGATGTCCAAAATAGAATTTGCTATTTTTTCCACCAAGTCCTCTCCCCTTTGGACTTGCCTATTACTGTTGAAGGTAGCCACTGTTGAGTCACCTAGGTTGAAAACTTCAGTACTACCCCCTCAACTCCTTCCTCTTACCCCACATATCCACTCCACTGCCAAATCTTGTTATTTCTTTCTCTACAGCATCTCACACATACATATCCTTTTCTATACTTACACAGCTGCCACCCTACTTTAATAATTTTTATCATCATCTCTCTCCTGTAATATTACAATAGTCTTCTAACTGATCTCATGGCCTCAAGTGTCTCCCCATTTGAATCTATCCTCCATAAAGTTGTCAAAGTTTTTCCTCTCAAGCTCTGATCATGTTACTCAACACTACACTCTCCTTCCCCCCATCAATAAGCCTCAGTGGTTCCTCATTTCCTCTAAGAGTGAATATAAAGTCCTTTGGTTTGGCATAAAATGTCTTCACAAACTGACCCTTTCAAGGTCCAGAAGACTTTTCCAGTCTTCTTATACTTTACTCCCTTACACAAACTCTGATCCAGCTACCCAGGCCTACTTGCTGCTTCTCACACATGACACTCCATCTATCTCCTGTCTCCATGCTTTTGTACTGGCTGTCCCCTAGATATAGAATGCTCTTCCTCCTCTTAGAATCCCTTGCTTCTTTCAATACTGAGCTCAGTCACCTACTGCAGGAGGCCTTTCCCAGGCCTATTAAGAGTCTTGCCCTTTATGGTTACTTTCCATCTAGAATGTATGTTATCTTATATATACACCTATTTATTTACATGGTGTCTCTCCACCACCACCCCTGTATAATGTAAACTACTTGTAGGCTAGGATTGTTCTCACATTCTTTTGAATTCCCAGTGCTTATTACACCAAACCCGGCCCACAGTAAGCCTTTAATAAATGCTTATTGATTGACTGATTCCTCCTATGGGTTGGGGTGGGGGGTTTAATGCTAGTTATTTGATGGGTCTAGATACCAGTCTAATATTACAAGAAAAGGCAAAATGACAGACTGTCAGCAGTCACTCTAAGGCCACATACTCAGATAATATTTTGTAGGATAATGGGGTGGCTTCCCTCTCTGCCAGTACACCTTTAATAACTCATTAGCATATATTGCTCAATTATTAACCTAAACTTTTCCTAAGCCTCATGACATTTTCAGCTAATACAACTTCATGGGTTACTAATTCACATATTTACAACTCACTGTACAAACAAATGCTTCTTTTTGTTGCACCTTAAGCTTCAAAGATGCAAAAGTGAAAGGGTAGAGTCAGGAACTGTTTTGTAACTAAATCTATAAACACAAAGAAACATGTGTGGTACACATCCGTCTAATACAATATATCATATTACTTTATCTCAATTCTATTGAAATCAGTCATCCATGCTTTCTTCTACTGATCTTGCACAATGTAGCTTCATTCTCAGGAGCAACGGAACAGGCACAGGGGTAGGTGAGCTAAGTATTGCCTATTACTGAGAAGATTGAAAGCTTTTGAGAGATAGGAGATGAGTTTCTAATAGAATTAAATAACACTGTTTATTATCAAGAAGTCACCAGAAAGGAAGGAAAGAAAGAAAGGGCCAAGTAGATACAAAATACTGTTTCCCCTAAGCAGCTATGAGCCCAGAGCAGTGAAAATAGTAACAGCCAGATTCCTAAACAATGTTAAAGGGAAGCCACAAAGGAATGTATTTATCTCAATAACCAAGAAATACAGACATTGTCCTACATGTCAGACTGCTCCTTCTCAGTCTCCTTGGCTGGATTTATATCCAAGTTGCACCTGTTAACTATGGGTATCACATAAAGCTATCCCGGACCCTTTTCTCTTCTCCATCTATACCATTCCACTTGATGATCTCATCTGCTCCCATGGATTCAATTATCATCTTTATACAGATTATTCTCAAGTTTACTTATCCAATCCTAACCTTTCTCATCCAACCTCCAGGCTTGCATCTCCAACTGTTTACTGGACATCTTGAAGTAGATGTCCTATTGACATCTTAAACTCAACATGTCCCAAACTGAACCTATTACCTTTTCCTCCAAACCCTCCTCTCTTCTTAACTTCCCTATTACAGTTGAAGGCACTATCATCCTCCCAGTCATCCAGGTTCAAAATTTCGGTGTCATCCTCAACTCCTCACTTTTTCTCACCTCCATTCATATGACTGGAAAGTTCTATCAATTCTACCTTTGTCATAATTCTCAAATAAGCCTCCTTCTCTCCTTTGGCATGTACACCACCTTAGTGCAGAGCTTCATCACCTCAAGCCAAGACTATTGAAATAGCTTGCTGGTCTCCCTCCTCAAGTCTCTTTCCACTCCAGTTCATCCTCCACTCAGCTGTCAAAATGAACTTCCGGAAGTATAGGTTTGACCTCCAGTGGCTCCCTAATATACCCATGATCAAATTTTAAATCCTCCATTGGGCTTCTGAAGTACTTCATAGACTTACAAGGAAAAATGCTATCCACCTACAGAGAAAGAACTGATGGAATCTGAATGCAGATAAAAGAATACTTTTTCTTTATTTTTCTTTTTTTTTGTCTGTTTTCTTTCACAACATGAATAACAAGGAAATATGTTGTGCATGACTGCATGTGTATAACCTATATCAAATGGCTTGCCTTTTCAATATGGGAGGGAGGGAGAGAATCTGTAACTCAAAAGTTTTAAAACACAAATGTTAAAATTTTTTTACATGTCATCAGGGAAAAATAAAATATTAAAAATTTTTTAAAGTCCTTCATAACCTGGCCCCTTCTTACGTTTCCAGTCTTCTTACACTTTCCTTGAGGGGAAAGCAGTGAGGAGCTTGCACTCACCCATTCTCCTAAATTTATAACCTAACTCTTCCCCTCTCCCTCCTTTAACATCAATCAGGTACTGGATCTTGTCAATTCTATCACCACATCATGTTTCAGTGAGTTCCCCTACCTCTTTAATCCCACTACCACCAATCTAGGACAGATCCTCAGCAACACCTAGCTAAACTCCTGTCTCCTTCCAGGGCTTCCTGAATCTATTCTCTCCCTTCTTTAACACATCGTTCATATCACTGCTAGTAAAATCTTTCTTATTCACAGATCTGGCTCTCACTTCTCTGTTCAAAAGCATGCACAACCTGGAATCACTCTACCTTTTAAACCAAATAATGCTCCACTATACATACGCTTCCATCAAAATAGACAACTCTCCACCCGACACATACTTCAGTAAAAATGAACTTACATTTTGCTCCCACATTTCTATGCTTTTGCTCAGGCTACCCATGCCTGTGATGTCTTCCCTCCTTTTCTTTACCTGATGAATACTTACCAATCCTTTAAAGCCCAACTCAAAAACCACCTCTTCCAAAAAGCATTCCCTTACCCTTACGAATCAGTGATACGTAACCTCCTTTCTCCTCAGTCTTTTCACTGTACTTCATTTCTTTTACTAGTAAACTAGGCATGTAATATTGTTTATTATCACTATCTCAGGGTCTTACTTCCCTCCATATTTGTAAGTTCTTTGAGAGCTGGGACCATATCTCACATTCAACCCATATTGTATTCCTGGTTAGAATATAAAAAATATTCCAGAAAGAAAGTCAAGAAAGAAACAAAATAACAAGTGCTTTAAAGATAACAACATCATCAAGAAATTGTTCAATAAGAGAATTACTTCCAGTTAGGAATCTCTTATGTGTAGAGTAGTACTAGCTGACTTCCAGGGTACCTTTTAACTCTAAGATTCTATTAATTGATGGATGTAACAGAGGAGAAATAGAAACAATGTATTACTGGATCATGGCTTGTATGGCAGCAAAATAAAGGACTTCGGGCAAGTGACAATTG